GTCGGTCTATGTAGACATGCATACATACATACATACATACATACCTACATACACAGATACATACATACATACATACATACCTACATACATACATACATACATACATACATACCTACATACATACATACCTACAGAATGAGTGAGCAACTATGTTATGTGGTCTGTCTCTGAGAGCTGAAGCTCGCCAGTCACCAGTTTGGGCTTGCTCTTCTACGGCATGAGCTTGCAGTTCGCTTTGGTTCGCGGCTCGAGCTGGCCTTGTCGACCGAATGTATTGAATTATCAGTTTGATGTGCAGTGATATTGTTGTCCTTTTGGTGGCGTGCGTTCGAGCGACAGCATTGATTTGCTGCATCTGTGCTAGGTCCCAGGTCGTGTCTTATGGGTTGCGACGCAAGCAGTCTTCCTTTACATGCTTGTTCAAGTGTCCTGAACTCGTTGTAGATATCCAAGCGTCTGTTGGCCAGTGGTCTTTCAACCTCAGACCTCTCTTTGTAAGGGTTGCGCGGCTCCGGATGGATTTCCTGCAGTAGACATTCCTGTGAGCCGCTGCCATGCGGGAGCCAACAAAACTCTCGAGGGACTTACACTGCAATGTTGGATCTTGATCTTACAGATGCATACATACTTATATACATGCATGTATTTACGCACATATGAATACATACATACATACATACATACATACATACATACATACATACATACATACATACATACACACACCTACCTCCGTACGCACATGCATACATACATACATACAAACATACGTATACCCACATACATAAATACGTACATACATAACATACATTTACACGCAGAAATAAGCGCAACTACATAACTGTACTTGTGTAGGTCGGTGTAAATATGGAGATGGTGCACATATGTAGTGCTTGCATGCTATGGGCTATACTGCTATACAGAGTAAATATGCCCACATTTGCGCTCTCTTTATTTCGCCGCTGTCCCTTGGCACGATTGCGCGCAGCCCTGTCACAGATTCTCCAAGTATGCTGAGCTTTTAACTTTGTGCAGGTTGACGGAGGCGCCGGAGGGGGCATGCCACCCGGCGGCGGCATGAGCCCCCCCGGCGGCAAAGGCAAGAAAGGTGGCGACAAAGGCGGCGACAAAGGCGGCGACAAAGGCGCAGCATTGCTGGGTAAAGGAAAGTGAACTCATCTGAGTGATTGCGCCGTGCCATTCTTGTCTTCTCTGCTTGTCTTTTCACTGTCGTCCTACTGTTGTGCCCTTCTTCGTTGTTTTACACATCATACTGAAGCTAGTTTTCCAGTCTGTTTTGCTCTTGCCCGTCCGTGGTTGGTTGTCTGAGGCTTCCGTGTAAACCACCGCAGATACACGCTGTAGGGAGCGTTGGAATGCCGCAGCACCCTAGTCCGCTGCCACCATCACATCAGCCTGAGCAGCCGCAACTGCAGAAGCGAAAGTTGCATGTTTGAGGCAAGGCAGCATTGGGGATTGCAGTAATTAGGCGAGGGACAGGACGATTCGATGCCCTTTTGTGCCTTTGCCTTCCAGTCTCATATTCACTCATTCGTCACTGGTGATATCGCTGCAGCTCTCACAACTTCCTGTCAGGTGGCTGCAAAGGCGGTGGGAAGAGCGAGGGTGGAGGAAGGCCAGAATGCTTTACGAGTCCAGCTGGAGTCCAGCTTGGAAGAAGCACAGCTACCTTCATATACTTAATTCATTAGTTGTCGAGGTGTTGATGCCTTGCAAAGACTCGGCCTGAAACATAGGAATCACAACAAGTCCCCATGTCCACCTAAACCTTCAACTCTCACAGCTTGTTGTGCTGTGACACTTCGGCCGTCCTCGCCTAGCTGTGCTGAGTAGTGAGTCGCACAAAAGACGAAAAGCCCAAACCCAAGAACCGAAACCCTAAACCGGATGATCGTAGCCATTTTGGCTCAAGCCCTTTGAAAGCAGGTGAGAGTTGTTCCTGTTTCGACTCGGCAGAAACCCTTTCTTGCCATGCTGTGGTTCGGTCTTCTGGCTGTGCTAGTCTCCGCCACCGCTACCAATCAGTGTGATACCGCATCAAAAGGTGGCGAGTGCTTCAAGCCAAGTGGACACTACGGACCGGCCTTCCTGCAGTTCAAGGGTCTAGTGAAGCAGACGACCGGCTGCCAAGGGGACGACAGGACCCTTTGCACCCTTGAAGTGTCGACATGTGCGCCTTTCTCTGAATGGCCTGATGTGGACAATGGTGTCACTTGTGGGGGCTGCAAAGCACTAGTGCGTGCGGCACCTTATCAAGGCCGCTGCGACCGGTATTGTGCCAGCTTCGGGCATCGATGCACCGCCGCTGCAGAAGAGAAGTCCGAGTCTTGCGAGGCTGAGGAGGAGAAGCGTTGCGATGAGGAAATCTCCGACACCTCGGACATCCTTTGCACTTGCGAGCGCGAGGATGGGGCTCCGAGCTCCACTCCCCCAACGCCTGCTCCTCCCGCGGAGTGCTGGGCGGAGCTTCCAGGCCTGGCTACGGAGGAAGGCGCAAGCATCGGGGAGGTGCCCAGGGGCTCATCAGTGTCGGCGTGCCGGCGCCGCTGCGATGAGAATCCCGAGTGCAAAAGCATCTCCTTCTGCCCAGAATGGGACTGCTGGTTGAAGGATCGTAGCTTCACAGGTACAGAGCCAACTCGGGAGAAAGGGTCGTGCAAGACGCACTTCAAGACATTCTGCGATGCGACGACTACCACTGCTGCAAGCTCCAATCAAAATGGCTACTTCAAGTTGCGTGTCGTCTCTTACAACATCTATTGGTGGAATGCCTTCGGTCAGAATCCATGGAAGGGAGAGAGGATTCTCAACAACATCAAGGACAACCTTGTTCCCGATGCTATTGGCTTGCAGGAGTGTGACTCTCGCTCTCGGGTCGAAGATGCGACCGGGCTCCAGCGCGCCTCGAAGTTTGCCGGGGCGCAGGGTGTGATGGTGGACCCTTCCCGACTTCGCGTAGTGCCAGGGACGTCTGGTTCCGAGGACCTGCAGGCAACAGGTAAGTGGGGACCTAGACACGTCACCTTCGTCCAGCTCGCCGATACGACCACGGGAAGGACCTTCTGGATTTTCAACACCCATTGGTGCGTTGCCAACGGCAATGGCCGAACTTGCAATGAGGGCGTGCGCTACACTGGGGCTCGGAACATGCTAAGGGTGATTCAATCGAAGGCCGGCAACTCCCCGGTAGTTGTGACTGGCGATTTCAATGCCGACATGGACGAGGACGGCCCACAGCACTTCTTTAGGAATGGCTTCAAGCTAGCAGTCACTGAGTGGGTAGATGCCATTTTCTATACAGAGCAACACTGGAAGCTAGTTGCACAGGGTAAGGGTGATGCGGCACAGAGTGACCATCGCCCAATCTTTGCAGAGCTCGAGCTCTTGTAAGCAAAGCATGGACTTCGGTGAAGAGCACCTTTTTGAAGCCTGCTATGCGACGGTTGCGTCCCGCACCAGACGCCCACGAGTGTTCTGAAGGCCTCGCAGGACCGTTGCTAATTCAGTACAGATTGTTGCAGCCGGCGCAACCCTGCACTTTTGCTTCGTGGCACAATGTTCACACAACTTTGCGTGAACGTACCGTCACCGTTGTCTCCTCCGAAGCTTAGTCCCTTACAACGGTTTAGGGGTTTAGGGTGCTTATCCTAGGAAGTGGACTGCTTGTGTGTCACTGCAGCTGCGATGTTTGCAACGACTGCCCAGACCGTGGGAAGGGCTAGCTCGGAGACTACAGTTGTTGAGGCCCATGACTGTCAAAGATGTCACAGTCGGAGGCATCCCAGATGGCGAGCCCTTAGGAGTGCCTAAACCCTAAACCCTAAACCCTAAACCCTAAACCCCAAACCCTAAACCGAAGAGCATCCCGAAGTTTGTAGGTCTGCGAGGTCAGGGGAGTTGAGGATCGATTTAGGGACATCAGGGACTGGTTTGAGGTTGGCCATTTGGGAAGTCAGATTTGTCAAAAGCCTGGCACATGGCCGATTGCAGAAAAGGCTGTTCTGGAGGATCTCGCTCCTAGAATCCCAGAAAAAACACCCAGACCCACTGTCGGTCACTGTCCCTATACTACCCTCAAGCACAACCCAGTGCATTGCGGGTTTCCCGGGCCAACACGCACCTTTGCTCAGCCGATCCTGGTGCCGGGAGTAAGTCACAGGACTAAAGTGTAACCAGGGGGTCTGTTTGCTGTGTCACGCCGACACAAACCTGTGAGACCTCGCCTGGCCAGTCCGAGTTGTGAGAGTGTCAACCGGATGACCACAAGCCTCGCCCTGGAGTGTCCGAGTGGGAGTTTCCGAAAACTAGGGGTACCCTATTTTGGGGTCCTTATAACAAGGATCCTACTATTTAGGGTACTATATTAGGGTCCCCTATTTTCGGAAATCCCCAGTGTGAGAGCCGAAACCGGATGGCAGGGGCATCATGTCAGCGGAAAGACGTCGGCAGCTCTTCGAAAGCTGCGACGAGCCAAGCCCCCAGCGCCGATGACTTTCTGACAAAGGTAACAAAGTACTTTACGCGTTTTTTTGGTAATTAAGTATAGTTGATCGGTGGGAGTACTAATTCGAATTCTTCCGAGTGCGCTTTTCAAGAAGTCCATGAAAGGTATTCGGGTGTAATTGGACGAGGGCTTGAGACTGGTTTCTCCGTCAAGCGTACGGCAGTCAGCAGACTCTTCAGACTTATCAAATCCAGGTCAGACGACAAGCCCGTACACAGAGATAGTGGCACGACGACATGTTTATGTTAACACGCTGAGCAGTGGCGACACCAAGTTCTAAAACATGACATCAGTGCATCATCACTTGCAGCAAGACTCGAAAATACACATAGATGCCCATTGAACCGTTTTCTTGTTGTCCTCTGTGAGGAGTGGAGAACCTGCACACTGATGGGCGAAAGCAAAGTAAACCCCAAATCGAGAACCAGCAGCGACTGATTCCAACTTTAAGCCCTGCCCTGATAGCCCGTACCTTGGTCAAAAGCGGTCATTGTGAACCAGCTGCAAGTGCTGCTGCGAGTAACTATTTCCACTGGTCTTTGGTGAGCTACACAGATCTCGTTCGCAGAGGTTTTTTCGTCGTTCACCCTGAACCCTAAACCCTAAAACCCTAAAGGTCTAAAGCCTTCCTAGTGGCGGTGATGGTGGCGATTGCGTCCTGTAAACCCTAAACCCTCAACCCTAAACCCCTAAACCCCTGTACCTCAGAGCGCTAGAAGTGCAGGTCGCCCTCGCCGCCCCGGCGGCAGCGACCCCGCAGCCGAAGTCCCTCCGGGGGGTCCCGGTCGCCGCCCCGACGGAGGCATGGGAGAGATGGGCCGAAAGTGATAAAGGTTAGGGTGCTTTACATAGGCTTTGCAAACATGACAGCACCTTACTTTCCATGTCGGTATCTGTAGTTTTTTTAATCTAGGGTTTGCAACTTGGGCTTCCGGTTTACCTGGCAGCTTCTGTAGTTCAGGGTGATGGGAGGATCGCAATTTGATGGTTGTCTTGGTTGCCTGAGCTCCCCGTATTTCATGGGGCTCGCTTCCTGCCCGCGGGCTCGCAGGAGGTGGTGGTTGTCAAAATTAGGGTCCCTTTTTTGGGTTCCTTATTATAATACGGCACCTACCCAAAAGGGACCATAATTTTGACAACTACCCATGTCATGAAAAGGTCTTCAAACCGTTGTTCCCATTGTCTGGCTACCCCACGGAGGGGAGGGCTGGGGTCAGTGAAATTCTTCGGAGGCATGTAACCAACGATCCTGTCATGGCCAATCTCCATAGGGCGTCGTCACCAGTTTGAGCTGGTCTGGTGGACGGGCTTTTGTCACGGCAGATTTTCCGACGAACCGTGGATTTCGGAAAGCCCTGGCAAGTGACGCGAGAGAGGTGTCCACATAATCTCTAGGAGTGTCGCTGCCAACATGTTCCTGTTTCGAGCTGCGTGCGCCTCGTGTGACCTGCCAGCATACAGTATCAGGACAACACAGCAGTGTGACATGAGTTTGGACATGTGACAGAGAAGCTTCCAGACTGACAGACCCCTGAGGCTGCGAGAGAGAGTCAGAGAGATAGATAAGCTTCCCTGATGAAAGAAAGACAGATCAGCTCCCACTAAACTCGGCCAGGTCAGCTAACTTCAGTTCGGATCCAGCAACTTCAGGCCGGGCCAACAAGCATGTCGGGACATGGAGTGCGGGGGCACGACGTGGTTTGGAACGGGTTTTTGGCATTCCAAAGACTCCAGAACTCTAAACCCAAGACTTAGCCAAAGGTTGCCCATAATACTTGTGCTAATACTAATATTATATTAGTACTATTCCCAATACTGATACCAAGATTCATATTAATGTCATATTAGTCTTAATACTACTTCAATATTACCGGAAAACTCCCTGACGGAGTCCTTTCATGAGGCTTCGCAGAGCCACCGGCAGAGGGCGGAGCTATGGACTTTCGGGGCCCACCGGAAGGCACAGAAACTGGGTTCTTGTTAAGGGATGTAGGGTTTAGGATGTAGGGTTCAGGGTTTAGGGATTTAACTCAAGTTACCATAAAACCCATAAAAAGAAACCGTGCCTTTCTGATGATGTAATATAGATCCCTTTGTGGTGGCTTAACTCAAATCCCTTAACAAGCACCCAGGAAAGGGCACCAGGTTAGGTTTGCGGGATTCAGGTGGTTAGTTCGGGTGGGGCAGCGCTTGAGGGTTTAAGAGTCTGGCTGTCATCCATTGAAGACCACATGCAAGGGTTCTGGGGCGAAAGCTTTTGTCAGTTTTTGTCAATTTCGTAGTCTTAAAGGGCCCTGGCAGATGGCATTTGGACTGGGAGCACCTGGCGCGACCAGTCAAGCAACAGTACTGCTAGGGTTCGGGCTTGAGGGCTTAGGATTTAGGGAGTCAGGGGTTGCAAGCGTCGGCTGGGAAGAGTCTGTGAGTTGGCTGTTGTAAAACGGGCAGCTTCGACACGGAAAATCTCCATTTGCACCCTCTGGCGTCACCCGAAGCCCCATGGATCTCCAGCCCATGGTCCCAAATTGGTGAGGGGTTTATACCAAATTCCACGCCCGAAAGCGAAGCTGCCTTGCCTGCCTGCTATGCTTGGCCTTTGGAAGAACCGGGCGTCTAGCGGTCTAGCGCTTGCATATGGTCTGGGCTCCGGGGCACAGGATTGGAGCCCCAAAGCGTGTAAATTCAAGCTACGGCCAAAGTAGCACGGTAATGCTGTTATACGCTCTTATCACGGTCTCATGCCATGGTACTGGATAATTACCACAGTGCTGTCATGCTAGGAGAGTAGAATATAATTACAGTACGATGATACTTTTGGGGGGTGTCTCAAGATAGCATACCGCGTCTAGAAGTGGTGTTCAAGCCTGAAGCCTCTAGCTGTCCGGGCTGAGCGCCAGAAGGGATATAAGGCAAATGTGCAGATTTATAGATCCACGTCGTTGCTTTAAAGAACCTTCTGCGGTTGACAGCAGGATGACTCTGGAGGCTGTCCTCCGTGGCACGGACG